GCCCGCAACCTGGGCATATGCCCTGACCGGGAATCAAACCAGTGACCTCTTGGTTTCTAGGTCGACGCTCTACCGCTGAGCTACACCCGGCTGGGCAATGACTGCCTCTTTTGATCCACAACTAACAAAAGCAAGCATCCACTGAAAAGAACCAGGCTTTAGAAGAGCAATCTTTTCATAGTGAAAACCTCAAACAACACACTTTACAGCCTGAAGATTTTGTTTATTGTAAAAGATACCTCCCAAAAGACTTGCTTCCATGTTCCAAGGAATCAATTTTTGGATTCATGTATCACCCAGGAAGGAAACTCCAACACCTGAATAGACTTGCGTACTGACCAATGATCTAAAACTAAAGTTTCCTAGACTTTAAGCAAACATCATCTGATACAGAGAGTTCTCCCAAGATCACTGGATGGAGCCTACATATCTTTTTTTTCCCCCTTTGCTTATCTCATTCCTAATGCTACTGCTAATTTCACCCAATTTCCCCTTGATTGTTACTTCAAAAGTAAGGCTCCTACACACACAGTCCCCCACACCCTGCTTTGATGAATCCATAGGGGTAGTCTTATGGGCACTACCTGGTTTGTCTGTGACAAATGACACTCTCAATGGGCCTATGAATGCCTAGCTAGCTGGCAGATCAGAGGCCAATGCTCACTGGGAACTTGATTATTCATAATGGCATCCATAATAAATTTGAGGTCTCCCATTCATCCTCCCCTTGGTCCTCTGCACCAGACCTTCACAGCCACCTCAAGTGGAAACTTTCAAGAGGTATTCAGACTTGTCTCCACAGGGCGAGTACTCTTCCCTCTTGCTGGTATACATGCCAGTGAATCTATGATCATAAGTCTCTCTCTGAGACTGGGAAAACTTGTCATTTCCACCACCAAGAAAATAGCTGCTGATTATTTAATCAAACTAGTTTTACACCATAAAATAGCTTTGATTATTTACTTAGGAGGTGTATGTGCGATAGCAAAAACTACCTGTTGCACTTGGATAAATTCCTCTGGGAAAGTAGAAACTTAACTACATAAAATTAGACAATAAGCCAGTTGGTTGCAACAATCTTTACCTGATGACTCCTGGCCTTTCAGTCTATTTAGCTGGTTACCTTTAGGTTTGGGCTTTTGATTTAAGGGTTTAGGAGCATTTTACAAATGGGATTTATTATTCTGTTCCTTGTTGTGTGTGTGTATGTAATCATTATATAATATATATATATATATATATATATATATATATATATATATATATAAATTTATTTCAGAAAGGGAGAGAGAGAGAAAGATAGAAACATCAATGATGAGAGAGAGTCATTGATCGATTGCCTCCTGCACGCCCCACACCAGGGATCGAGTCCGAATGTGCCCCAACTGGGAATCAAACCATGACCTCCTGGTTCATAGGTCGATGATCAACCATTGAGCAATGCCGGCTGGGCTGTGTGTAATCATTTTTAAACTCTGTGCCTGTTTGCTAATCAAATCTCTGTAGAAGCAATACACTGAATAGGATGATGTTAGCCCAACACTTCAAGATGATCTCTGATACTTGCAAGATATAAACATTGAGTGGGAAATGCCTAAGAGTTCCCTTTTCTACCTTCCTTGTTATTAAAATGTGGCCTTAAATGGTTTCCAATCACTATGTACTTTTCTTCTGACATGGGACATGACAACCAGGAAAGGTCCTTCCTAGCACCAATGAACAAAACCACTAAATACAGACAAACCTGACTCTTGATCACCAATAATTCTAAGAAAGATCTTGATCAGAATGGAGGAAATGTGAAAATGGGACCCTCATGAAAAATGGATTCAGGAAGCCATGAAGGGAGAGCTTTCACGCACTCACCCCTCACCATTTATGTAACCAGCACCTGCAGCTTATACAATCACGAGGAAGAAGGGAGATTCCCTCCCTGTTTGCCTCCTTAGTGACCAGCTGCCTGGCCTCCTTCCTGAGCAACAGCAGGCAGCTGACTATCAGCCAGCAATAAGACACCACCACAACTTCTGAAAGGGTGAGGGCTACGCCCTCCATCTTGCCCCGAATCCTCCATTTTTGGGCAGAGCCATGTGCTCAGCAAAGAGCTCCTTTCCGGAAGAAGCCCAAGCCTCTGCTAGCCACACCTAGGATTTCTTTAAACTAACCAATGATAATCAAGGGAAGTGCGCGCCATAGATAGGACCACATCCTGTGTAACAAGGCACCGACTTGCGCCTGGCCAATCGGCAGGGCCCACAGTCCTCTCTCCTCCCCTTACTATAAAACCCCTCTCCCTACAGGGCTGGGTCTTTCTGCCACTTGCTGCTGCATCAGTAAGGAGGGTAGGGGAGCCAAGCCCGGGTTTGAATAAAAGACTCTTTGCTTTTGCATCGGACAAAGTTGGCTCCCTGGTGTGGTCTCTTGGGGATCCTGAAATCTGGGCATAACACCTCTCCCTAATTTTCTCCTTAAACTCAATAAAAGCTGACCTCCTTTTTGTCTCCTCAGACTTGCCTATGGTTTGCCACATGTATAGCCTCTGATATCTTAAACTCAATTGCTGCTTGAATAATCTTTGCTGTTTAATCTTTTGCTGTTGAGAGAGAGAGAAAAGAGAGAGTAGCTTTTGAATCTCTAGATTCAACCATCTCTGAGGCACGTTCAGTTCAATCCCAGCCTTTTCTATGGTTTGGTTCCTTAATCCAATACTATACTCCTCTTTTTTAATTTTTTTTATTCATGTAGTTCAGGTTGAGTTTTGTCATGTAACTAAAATAGTTGTAATTTCAGAGCAATCAAATTATAGTTTCTTTCAGCTGTGGTCTTATGGAATTCATTAATATTAATAGCCACATCCTGCAAGAAAGGCTTGGATATTAAACAAAGCATGGCTTTGGGTTAAAGAATAAAGCATTAATTGAGGACCCAATGAGATACGTTAGAAATAAAATAAGAAGGCAAAAATAGGATGACATGGGTAAAGATCCAAAGATGCTGACAAGTCATCCTATCTAATAAAAGAGAAATATGAAAATTGACTGTACCTCTGCTATGCTGACAAGCCATGCCCACCAGCCAATCAGGAGTGAGTATGCAAATTAACCCGACAAAGAAGGCGGGTTAATTTGCATATGCAGGCGCCCAGCAGCCTAGGTCCCAGGAACATCTTAGGGACCCAAGCAGCTCAGAGCCTGCAGGCCCCAGCATAGGCCCTGAGTGGCCTTGGTCCCAGAACACCCTGGCCACTCCTGGCCTACTGGCCTTGGCACTGTAGGGGGTGGGGGGCGCAACAGAGGCTTGAGCAGGACCAGAGAGGAGTGGGGAGCCCTGCCCAAGCCATGGCAGATGCTTCATTAGAGCCGGGGGGCCCTGCCCAAGCCCCAGCAGAGTCTTGATCGGAGCCAGGGAACCCTGCCCAAGCTGTGGCTAATGCTTCATCGGAGCCAGGGGGCCCTATCCAAGCCAGGACAGAGGCTTGATAGGAGCGAGGGGTGTGGGGGGTGGTTTTCCCAAGCAGTGGCAGAGGCTTGAGCAGGGCCTGAGCAGAGGGGAGAGGGGGTGGCCTTGGGCAGAGGCTTGAGCAGAGCTGGGAGGTCCTGCCCAAGCCACACTGGAGACTTGAGTAGGCCCAGAGACAGGGGGTGTGCCAGCCTAGACTTGCCAGCAGTCCTGCCTCTGCGGGGGAGCTGCAGGGGAAACACCTTTTCTGACAGCTCATTGGCTAAGCTCCCTGTATGCCACTGGTAATGTTCTTGGTAACATGGGTAACAAGAATTCAAAAAGGTGATCTAGGGTTTTTCCACCTTACTCCTGGAGGAAAAAACGAAGGTCCGCTGCTGGAGGGCTAAGAAATGTCATATCCTGCCCTAGCCGGTTTGGCTCAGTGGATAGAGCCTTGGCCTACCCACCACAGGGTCTGGGTTGATTCTGATCAAGGGCATGTACCTAGGTTGCAGGCTCCTCCCTGGCCAGGGCCCAGGTCAGGGCTCATGCAGAAAGCAACCAATCAAAGTGTCCGTCTCACACTGATGTTTCTCTGTCTTTTCCTCTCTCTTCCACATTCTCTAAAAATCAATAGAAACATATCCTCAGGTGAGGATAAAAAGAAAGAAATGTCATATCCTATGAAAGAGACATCTTGAAAATGCCTAAAGAAAGTTGCCATTTTTTCATGGTGAAGGGACTGGAGTCCGTGTTGATGAAAACACCTTGGCAGCTGCGGTGACTGGCAGTGGCTGCAGCAGAAGGGTGATGGGGCTGGTGCCTTCCCCTGATCAGCCGGGTCGCCTCTCACAGAGGGAGGCCAGACTGCAGCTTAGGCCTGTTTCCAGTGGGCCTAAGCCGTCAGTAGGACATCCCCTGAGGGCTCCCAGTCTGTGAGAGGGGGCAGGCTGGGCTGAGGGACCCCCGCAGTGCACAAATTTTGTGCACCGGATCCCTAGTTTATATATAAAAGGCTAATATGCTAAGTGTCCATCCCTCCCTCCATCCAACCAGTCACTATGATGCTCACTGACCACCAGGGGGCAGACATTCAACATGGGAGCTGCCAAGCTGCATTGACTTGGCAGCGGTGGTTCATGAGTAATGCACCCCGAAACCAGAGAGGAGGGAGCCTGATTTCTCACAGGGCTGCACGATTCTACCTTTGGCCATGGGTTATGTTGTTGCTGGGGCACTGTCGGCCCTGAACCTGATTCACTGCACACTTGTATTTGCGTTCCACACCCGGTATGACAGCAATTTTGCAGAGTGCCCTCTCACACTCCAGGACCCCTCAGGGAATATTGGAGACTCAGTTTCGGCCCAATCCCCATAGGCCAGGCTGAGGGACCCCACCTGCTGGAGGGACCTCACTCAGTCCATCTCGCCCAGTCCCACCCCACTGGCCACCTTCTAATTAATTTCCTTTCAATGTGCACAAATCCATGCACCGGGTCACTAGTATCAAAATAAACTCTTGCCAAAATCTCACACACACACACACACACACACACACAGGTTTTATAAGAAGAAACTTTAATTTTTCACAGGTATAGAACATATCCCCAACAAGATTATGATTGTTTTTTACAACTTTAAATTCAGCTGTTCCAAGTTATTTATATGTATTATAAATTTTTTGTGCATCTTTATCCAAGCCATAAGTAAAATACACTCCTTCAGCTTCATCTACTTGTCTTTTTCCTGGTTTCTCACTTCTCTATGTTTTCTCTTCTCTGAGAAGTTTTAATATGTGAAGGGTTCACATATTTATTTTTTCTCTTGCACACTTAGTAAGTGCTTTCCTCTGAGAGCTGAGAAAAGAGAAACAAAATATTCTTAATACATTATTTAGGAAATGCAACCAGAAGGGAGAGGAACATTGGCCTACTAAGGTCTAAGCCAGGGGTCCTCAAACTTTTTAAACAGGGGGCCAGTTCACTGTCCCTCAGACTGTTGGAGGACCGGACTATAGTTTAAAAAAACCTATGAACAAATTCCTATGCACACTGCACATATCTTATTTTGAAGTAAAAAAACAAAACAGGAACAAATACAATATTTGTATTTGCATGTGGCCCGTGGGCCGTAGTTTGAGGACCCCTGGTTTAAGCTAATCCTGACTTTGGGAGTGCATGTACCATGAGGAGAGAAGAAATGGAGAAACCAAGAAGGCACAGTCAGGACAGCAAAGTTAGTAGTTTGAGGGTTTCCCAGTAGTTTGTGAATGAGAGAACTAGAAAGGATATGATATTCTAATTTGATTTCCCAGAACTAAAATAATATTTGAGAATAAACTGAAACTCTACCTCAACTTTGATTGGAACAGTGCAGTGTGTATTGTGCACAGATTGGTAACAGAGAATACACATAATGCTCAAATCTGAGGCATGCATGTGAAAGGCACCTACCTCTACCTAGCACCAGCCACACTGCATTGAGAGGACTCAAAGGAGGGAGAGTTTTCAAAAGTCAAGTCAAAGAGACAGAAGCATAAGGTCTCAAGGAAAAGCCAAATAAGCAAAGATCACATCTGATGAGGAACAATGCTAATCCAATCCAAATCTAGGTCCCAAGCAAAGAAGTACGTTTTGATAGATGAGGGCAAGGATACAGCTTGGGATGTTCAGACAGTGGGCATGATGAGCTGCATCACTTCAAAAATTTCATTTTAAAACAAGACCAGGGGAGGAAAAGTAGTGCAAATCCTCTAGGTTGTACCCTGGGTGGGGGTGGAAGGATCAAGAAATATGAGGGTGAAAAACATACCCCACCAATGGGTTAAAGGGCAGGATTAATCCCAGGGCAGCAACTCACAGAAACACCGAATTGTCAGGCACCCAATAGATCCAAGCAGGAAGTAGCCACAATACGGACATCTTCAAGTTTCTCTACCACCAAATGCATTTACCTGTTTCCTCAAGAGGCAGATCCTCTAAGAAGTCATCTACTGCCCACAGCATCTGTCTCAGTGCAGAGAGGTTCAGGACGTCCTTTATAGGGTCCAAGTCCCACTCTGAGGTATAATTACTGACCACCAAGATGTCAGAAAGAGCAAATCCAAGTTTTTTGTGGACTTCCTCTTGCTGAAATACAGAAATTAAAACCCAGAAATCTCAAAACAGTGAAAAACACTACTTAATGTCAATATAAATTATGAAAGCAATAACAAAGGTAGGCACTTGACAATATTTTTCCTACTGTGAGAAACGGAGATAGAGATCTGGCCCATAAGGTACTTTTCCTAAGAACTTCACAAGTCAAGTTCTAACATCACTGCTAATTTTCACTTAGAATACATAGAACATAGAACAGATTCAATATGAATTAAAATATAAAGATAACATGGTTCTATATAAACTACTTTGAAATTGAAGCATTTTTAATATACTTACATTAAAGTCCATAATTTCCTTCTTTTCTTTTAAAAGTTATTCTTAGGATAAGGTGATTTTATTTGTTTAATGCTGATATTCAACTTATTTTTTTACATTTCATTTTTCAATTACAACTGACATTCGATAATTTTATATTAGTTTCAAGTGTACAGTACTGATGTTTAATTAGGCTAGTTTATCTGTGCAACCAGATTGCCTGGGATAAATATAGGGCTCTGTCACCTCTTAGCACTGTCAATAAGCATTGGCAAATGCTTTTCACTGTGCACTTGTGTTTTCTCATCTACCAAATATGGTAATGACAATACCCACCTCATCAGCTTGTTTTAAGTAATGAATAAGAAAACCGATTACTTAATCATTGCTTAACAAATATTAGCTATCATTATATTACCCCAACTGATGCTCCCACCTTCATGCTCCTTTTGACTCTAATCTATGCTTCACATATGTGTCAGATTAAATTTTGTGAATCTGACTTTGTTCACATCACTACTCTTTCAAAAAGTTGCTATGCTTCCCCATAATGCACCTAATTAAGTAAAATCACTTCATGCAAATGTTTCTTTCTCACTTTATCTTTCCCTACAGTGATCCAGCCCTCCACTAAACTGAACACTCTATGCCTCCTGAAATGCTACTTTTTCCTGCATTGATGAATTCACTTATGCTGTCCCCTTGGCCTGAGTTTTTCCCCCTAAAACACTCCTCCACCTTAAAAGCCATATCCTAGTGCCACCCCAGTAACAAAATTCCCCCCCCCAACCTTTTGCTCAATATTTCCCTCATCTGAACTTTCACCGCATTTTATTTTTCATAATTTCATGATATTTATTATACTCAATCATATCATGTCATATTCTTTTGTCAACTTTTTCTCCTCTATTTCCCCTATCCCCTCACCTCCACCTATAAAGCTGCAAGCTTTTAGCAGAGGGAAATTATTTCAATTATCTGTGTATCTGATTAGAGACTATCACACTGGCTCAATCATTGCAGGTAATCAACAAACATTTGTTGAATTGAACCTAATTGAATTAAATTGTAATAAATATAAGTTATCTGTCAGCAGAAAGATAAATACTTAATATTTAAAACTTAGAAAATAAGTCTGAATTATCCAAGCAATTGTTTCAAATATTCTTAAACTTCACAAGTGTCTATTTTTATTTTTCTACAAAGTAATATCATGTGATTATAGGGATATGCCAGAAAATGTGTTTACAAATGACAGCGTTCATTACCTTGAGTTTCACAGGCATACATTTGTATATGTCTATAAGGTCTCCTTTCGTAATCAGATCCATGCTATCCACACAAGTGAGTAAAACCACATGTACCACACCTATGCCAGATAGATAGATATTGTTTTTATTATTATAGGCAGCATCAGTATTTTTTTCAGTTAATCAGCTATCAATTATGCAATAGACCTACTATGGAACAATTTCAGAAATTTGGGGAAGTTCCCTACCCCCGACACACACACAAAAATCCCTCTGAACTACTTACTGGTACCTGGAATTTTCCTGACATAGAAGTCCCTTCATTGCCTCCCATGGTAAGAAGTCAGGCTTCAAATGAAACCACCCCTTGGAAGAGGTAACTAAAATTTATGCTGCAGTATTGATGACTGATTATATGTCTTATCCACCAGTTGTGTTTTTATGAAAACTATAGAAAGGCCAAAGGGCTCTAAGAAACAAGATGGAGAAGAGGCCTCAAGGAAACAGAATATGTTGAAATATTGCAAATAAACTCCTATATCACAATGGTAGCAGGCACATCTCTGCACACCACCCTTTCAAGGTTTTAAATTTCAGTGAGCAAGTAAGTCAATCACTCCCTGCTTCTAACTTTATCAAAGCTGTGATAATCTGACTCTTTCCCAAACAGAATGAATAATAAGGCCAAGAAAAACCACGGTGGCCCAGCCAGCGTGGCTCAGTGGTTGAGCATCTATCTGAACCAGAAGGTTGTGGTTTGATTCCCAGTCAAGGCACATGCCCAGGTTGCAGGCTCCATCCCCAGTAGGATGTGTGCAGAAGGCAGCCAATCAATTATTCTCTCTCATTATTGATGTTTCTATCTCTTGCTCTCTCTCTCCCTTCCTCTCTGAAATCAATAAAAATATATTAAAAAAGAAAAGAAAAGACAGTGTGGGGCACTTTAATTCTTACCTTCTCCAAAGCCTTTATGCTACCTCTCTTTATCAAAGCATATTATTTTCCTCTTTTTCTTACTAAAATGTGTTTTCCTCTTTCTAATATTTTAAGGCCCAAGGGGAAGTCTAAGACTGTTGTTAAATAAATGCATGCTAGGATGCAGTGAGGACTGTACAAACTCTACATATATATTTGTTTGTTTAATCCTTACATTAAAACCTCCATTGTTATACTAATTTTATAGATTAAGACACTGTGGCATAGAAAGTTCAAATCACTTGCACAAAGACATACAGCTTAGTAAGTGCTTGATTTGAATGAACCACACTGATGGGCCAGGGAATATTTAAATATGCATTTTCATAAGTTCTTCATCCTGTTCAAATCCAATCTACAATATAGTCTAATCAGGTAGCATTAGAAGTACAGTGGAATAAGACTCACCACTCTTCACCACCTCCCTTCGAGCTTTTTTGATCTTTGCTACCATCTCATCAGAGAGCTGCTCAATAGAGTTGGCATCAAACACAAATGCCACACAGTGGATTCTGTCCTCCAGCAATGGGAAGTCAATATAGTTACTATGACCTGGTGTGATTGGTTTCATGAAATTAAACTGTATGGTAAACATAAAGGAACATATTAATTCAAGAAATATTTATAAGCACATACTACGTATCAGGCACTGTGCAAGTGAATAAAACAGTGAACATAACAAACAAGCTTTAATAGTATGAAGATAACAATCTGGTAGAGAAGACAGTCATTATGCAAGTCCTTTCATAGAAAAAGCTTCTGAGAAGAAGGGACATGTCATAGGAAGGCAAAAAACAAAAATAAAAATAACACAGGTGAGTTCATCTGAATAAGAGAATAAGAATATGACAGAAAGTATCCTAGATAGAAGAAGCAATGTGGGCAAAGGTGGAACTGGTATCATCAGGCAGAATACAAGGGGGGAAGTGGTACAAATGAGATGTGTTTACTCTGAAACTAGAAATCCTCTGCTGGCGATCTGTCCCACAAATGTATGTACACGGCTACCAACTTCAGGACTATTTGTAGCAGCAAAATAACGTTACATCAATGACAAATAGTGTTCTATCACTTCTCTGAAAAAGAGGAAACCACAAACCTGTATTTTCTAATATATTAAAAAATGGAAGTAACTCATAAATTCTTATATGGATACTTATAGGAAGCAGGGAGAAATGCATTTGAAGTAACAGAGAAGGAAGATGGATTCTTTGAATATACCTTATTTTGTAGATTTGACTTTAGAACCATATAAATTATACATATATATATATATATACAAATATAAAACAAAATTAAATTTAAAAAGCAATCTCTAAATTGAATTAAATGAGTGAACTTTTGCATCCAACTGGGATCATATCTACACAGAAAGAAGCTATGTCTGATTGACTTTAAAACACAGTAATTTGTGTACTCCTACTACATGATATGTGCTAAACACGATATAAAAAATCTGCTAAGAATTTAAAATTGTTTCCAATGTTTATTGGTTATTTTTATTCTATTGATATTAAATATAATTATGATTAGATCATTCATGGTAGTGTTAGATCAGTGATTCCCAAAGTGGGCGCTACCGCCCCCTGGTGGGCGCTGCAGTGATCCAGGGGGGCGGTGATGGCCACAGATGCATTTGTTTTAACATTTTTTGTATTACCTTTCTATTCTGAGTTCAATAAATAATTTCATAATTTCAAACTTCAATGTTTCTAATTTACACCTTTCTTTACTATATTTTACGAAAAAGGTAGAAACATTAATACATATATCTTTCTGTTTAATTGCTATTAAAATTTTTAATTTCCAGGGGGCGCTGAGTAATATTTTTTCTGGAAAGGGGGCGGTAGGCCAAATAAGTTTGGGAACCACTGTGTTAGATAATTATTTCTGAGATTACAGTGAATATTATGTGATATAAAGCAAATGAGTTGTGACATATTTTGTCATCTCTAGTATCCTTGAGACTAGAGATTTTCTGTTCAGTTAAAGCAGATACTGATGCAAGATAAAAGAGATTAAGTAAAAACTATATAGTCCTGTATCTATATTTAGATTTTTCCACTAAAAAAAGCAAGAACAACAATCCACTAAATAGCAATGAATAGTTCTAATGACCCAAACTAAACCAAACCAATATGTCTTAGAGAAATAACTGACTCAAAATCTGGACTGTAAATATACAAAATATGGTTTATATTTATAGTCATACAAGAATTCAAGGAATATAGCAGATTTTTATGTCAACAGAACTCAGAATCTAAATTGTAGCAGCTGTCTAGTGGTCAAAGATGTTACATTTGACATCTTTATGTAGATAAACTACAGTGCACTGAAACACATCAAATATGTTCAATTCATGAGTTCATAATGATAATAAAATAATCACTGGTCAGTGTTGGCATATGTAAAGAAACCAACTTATTATTTTCAAAAGCTTATAAAAAAATCAAGCAGATATTCTGACCATCCTATATTAGCGGTATTAAATGTACCACTAAGTAATCAAATAGTGGATAAGGGGAAGTTGTCTTTCACACATGTGAAATGAAGAAGCAATGATGGAGATAGAATATCACTATTTTCATACCCTAATAAATAAAGGTATCTAAGTGTTGAATGTTCATGAAACCTACATTACAAAAGTGAGAAAGTTCAAAATTGGGTGGCTTTCATGGAAGAGCATAACACCATCTTATGAAGCCGACCTGAATCTGAATGTATGTCTATATTCATCTACCAATTTTCAGGATAAAAAATAAAACTACATCAAGTGATGAAAACAGCAAATTTCAGACTATGGGAAAGTATATGTCTATAGAATAACCAAACAGATTTCTTAAAAATCATATTGCAAGTAAAAATGCCAAAAGAGATAGAGGCAAAATTTGCAACTAAAAGAGGCTGAATAAGTTTTTGAATCATTATTTAAAAACTGTTTTAAAAGATGCATAATATGGTACTTATATAACAATTAGAAATTTGTCCAATTTGGGTGATATTTGATAATTATTTAAAGAAAAATTAAGGAATAATCCAGATGTGATAAGGATATTACAGTTATGTTTAATAATGTGTGTGGACTTTAGTAATAAAAATCTGTGCTTTGTATGTCATGAAAAAAAGATATACATGTCCATATATATATATTTGTGTGTGTGTGTGTGTGTTTATTCATTTAGCTCTATGCTAAATTATAAAAGAATATAAAATAAAATGAATATATAAATTAATATAAAATATACTGTGTTTCTGGATAGGAACACTGGATATGTGAAGATGTGAAACAATTTTGTGTATAAAATTTTAATGCAATTTCACTCAAAGCACTAACAAATAAAACACAAACAATCAAATAAAATACAGACAAGTTCACTTGGAAAAGTATATATGTGAAAATGGTCAAGGAAAACAAATGTGAGAAATAAATATTGAGTACTACTTATCCAGTGAGTTATTAAGATATACTGGGTTGCTACAGTAATTAAAACAATTAAACAATATGGTAATGAACATAATAAAGAAATGTATAAATACATTAATAAAACAAACTACAGGATACAAAAACCATTCCTTATTTTTGTTAGGAAAAACATGCAAAAGTGTTCAATGAAAGATATTGCCACAATTGACTACTCATTTGGAATAAGGTAAATTAATAACTCAAGATCTAAATATTTACAAAAAGAATTGGAAAGTTTTTTAAAAAGACAGACTACCTCTTCTCTTTAATCTCCCCTTTCCTCTTGCCTGGAACACTAACAGTGCTCAGTGTAAACATCTTGAGAGCAGGAGGATAAAAGTCACATGTCAGTGTCCAGCTGGTGTGGCTCAGTGATTGAGCATAGACCTATGAACCAAGAGGTCACCAATTCCCTGGTTGTGGGATCAGTCCCCAGTAGAGGGCGTGCAGGAGGCAGCTAATTGATGTTTCTATTTCACTATCCCTCTCTCTAAAATCACTAAAAACATATTTTTAAAGAAAAAAAAGTCACATGTTTAGCCATCTTGGGCTGCTATAAGAAATTATGATATTGTGTGGTTTAAACAACAAATACTCATTTTTCATAGTTCTGGAGATCAAGGTTTTGCTGACAGTTTTGTGTCTAATTAGAGTTCCCTTCCTACTTGGTAGACAGCCACCTTTTTGCTGTGTCCTCAAGTTGCTGAGAGAGAGAGACCATCTCTCTTTTGTGTCTTCTTATAATTTATTTATTTTTTTAATTAAATCTTTATTGTTCAGATTATTACATTTGTTCCTCTTTTTTCCCCCCATAACTCCCCTCATCCCAGTTCCCGCCCCATCCTCTCCCCTCACTCCCCACCCACTGTCCTCTTCCATAGGTGCACGATTTTTGTCCAGTCTCTTTCCGCATCTCCCACACCCCTTTCCCCCCCAAGAATAGTCAGTCCATTCCCTTTCTATGTTCCTGATTCTATTATGATCACCAGATTATTTATTCACTTGATTCTTAGATTCACTTGTTGATAGATGCATATTTGTTGTTCATAATTTGTATCTTTACCTTTTTCTTCTTCTTCCTCTTCTTAAAGGATACCTTTCAGCATTTCATATAATACTGGTTTGGTGGTGATGAACTCCTTTAGCTTTTCCTTATCTGTGAAGCTCTTTATCTGACCTTCCGTTCTGAATGATAGCTTTGCTGGATAAAGTAATCTTGGTTGTAGGTTCTTGGTATTCATCACTTTGAATATTTCTTGCCATTCCCTTCTGGCCTGCAAAGTTTCTGTTGAGAAATCAGCTGACAGTCGTATGGGCATTCCCTTGTAGGTAACTGAGTTTCTTTCTCTTGCTGCTTTTAAGATTCTCTCTTTGTCTTTTGCTCTTGGCATTTTAATTATGATGTGTCTTGGTGTGGTCCTCTTTGGATTCCTTTTGTTTGGGGTTCTCTGCGCTTCCTGGACCTGTAAGTCTATTTCTTTCACCAGGTGGGGGAAGTTTTCTGTCATTATTTCTTTAAATAGGTTTTCAATATCTTGCTCTCTCTCATCTTCTGGCACCCCTATAATTCTGATGTTGGTACGCTTGAAGCTGTCCCAGAGGCTCCTTACACTATCTTCGTATTTTCGGATTCTTTTTTCATTTTGCTTTTCCAGTTGGGTGTTTTTTGCTTCTTCGCGTTTCAAATCTTTGACTTGATTCTTGCGCTCCTCTGGTCTGCTGTTGGGTGTCTGTATAATATTCTTTATTTCAGTCAGTGTATGCTTAATTTCTAGTTGGTTCTTTATCACAACATCGAGGGTCTCATTAGATTTCTTGAGGATCTCACTACATTTATCGGCGGTCTCACCAGTCTTTTCGAGGGCCTTACTAAGTTTATCGGCAGCTTCTAGACAGTTCTTGAGAGACCTTAAAAGTGTGGTTTTGAGCTCTATATCTTCCATTTCTGACATTTGCGTCCTGTTTCTTTGTCTCTGCATTTTTTTTATCTTTTCTTGGTGCACCCCCTAGTGGTCTTTGTGCGCAGTCTTGTAGTTAAGCCTTGATTGTTGTTGGTAATACCAGGGGTGATTTGACCTCCAGGCTAACTGGCTATGAGAGTCAGCTGTGTCTGCAGTGGGAGAGCTTCTGTGCTGGATCTCTAGGGCGGTGCTAATCTAGCCTTTGCCTGAGGCTATCGGCAAATGGCTCTGCGCAGGGCTTGGGTGGGGCGGGTCCCCGGGGATCTACAGGTCGGGCGGAACAAGCAGTTATGGCTGCTCTCAGTTCCGTCCCTAGGTGCTCTGCCTCTCAGAGTCCCAGCAACCGCTGCAAATCTCGGAGAGAAAGCTGCCTTCGAGTTCCGACCGAAGCCAGACAGTCCCGCTTCTCCCGTTTGAGTCTGGTTCCCCAGAGACTCACCCGGAACTGGAGCTCAGAGTCTGAAACTCCCTCCCGATTGAAAACAACATCCGCGCCCTCCGCTTCCAGCCCGCTCACGGGCACTCCGCACCTGAGTATTTCACTTCAGCACTGCGCCTCCTCTGAGTCTGGGTATGATATTCTCTTTCCTCCTAGTTGTAGAATTTCCACTCAGCCAGCCTTCTTGTGGTTCTGGATGATGTCTGCTCTGTCCTTTAGTTATATCTCTGAAGTGGTTGTTCGAGGCAGCAATCTCCGGCATTAATCTATGCCGCCATCTTGGTTTCCTAATTTATGACACTAATTCCATTCATGAGGGCTTTACTCCATGATTTTATCATCTTCCAAAGGCCCACCTCCAAATATCATCACATTGTGGAAGAGGGCTTTAACATATGAATTTTGAAGGAACACATTCAATCCATAGCACTCTATGCTGAGGATATCAGAACAGAAAGTCAAAAGGATCTTGAAAATTATAACCTCGAAGAGCTGACACACTGGCCCAAAGCTACCTACCTTCAGACTTCCTGCTACATAACAAAGATAACCTATGTGAGTAAGTTGAATAGCTAAAAACAATTGAGTGTGTAACAGCATTCAGAATTGTTATGACAGCTATGATAGAAGAGACTTTTGGATGTTTTAATTCCTTGTAAAATGAAATATCAAAAGAAACAAAGCATCTTGAACCACTATAATTAAAAAAAAATAAATGCTGATGCACTAACTAGGCCAGAGTCTTATGTCCTAATAGTGGGCAAAAAGAAACATTTTAAATATCAATTATAACCCCTCAATAATTAGCCAAATTATACCTGGTATCTGTCAGGAACGTGGCCTTTTAAGATGTAGGGTATGTCATCCATGCACAGCCCTTTTCCCTCACTCAGCCCCATTGAGTCACACAGAATAAATGGCAAGGACTTGCCATCCTTCCCATCCTTAATGGAATATGTCCTGTACTGCAAAGGAGGAAGAAAGGAACTTTAGGAGTTCATTTTATTTATATATAGTTGAAGTGTATGTACATGTAATGAAGTTGATCAGGAAAAGAAAAAACTTTTCAAATCTAACTTGAACAAAGCAGAAAAGGCTGAGTGACCTAGAATGGACTCACCTGCTGAGATATCCCAGTTCTGTCAGAGCCGATCAAAGCCTGGTGGGTTACATGGCCTCGGAAAACAGACTTTACTGAGTTGAAAAAGCTAGACTTCCCTGCTCCAATCGGACCCAGGAGCAGAATTCGTATTTGGTGAACCAGGTCCCTAGATGGTTTGTAAGTTCTTATGGCAGACAGTAAGCTCCCCTGGAGCCTGTTTGGACAAGACCATTTTAACAGTTGACTGAGGTTAGATCACAAGACCTTAGCATAAATTTTCCTTGAATTTCTTTTCTTTTCTTACACATTATTATTTATTTTTTATGATCAATTTGTTTTCTTATATAAGAAGACATAAAATTATCCTACCTTAAATCCTATTGTAAAAGAAGAAAAAGCAAAAATTACACTTTTAAGGCCATTCAGACATAAAATCTTTGATTTAAGCAAGTGTACCATGTAAACTTAGAATTCAATATCAACTATGTTAAACATGAAAATAAATTATCTATCTATATAAAAGCATAATATGCAAATTGACTGGACAGCGGAACAACCAGTCAGCTATGATGCACACTGACCACCAGAGGGAAGACGCTCAATTCAGGAACTAACCCCAGCCTACAGGCCCCGATCGCCTGATTGGGGCCTGCCTGCCAACCTCTCTGTCTCTCCCCCTGGCTGGCAGGCTCCAACTGCCTATGGAAACCGAAACCGGGAGTGGGTGGCGGCAGACGTGGGCAGCCTTGGGGCCCCGATCACCCCACCAGTTGCCCCACACACAGAGGGCAACTGGTGGCAGCAGGAGGTGGGGCCAGCAAGTGGGCGGGAACGGCCAACCTCTCAGGCCCTTTCCCTGGCCAGCAGGTTCTTATCGCCCGATGGGGAACCAGGAACTGGGCACGGTGGCAGCGGACATGGGAGATGCCTGATCCCCAATCACCCCAATGGTCACCCCACACACAAAGGGCAACCAGCAGCGGTGCCAGGGGGCGGGGCCAGCTGCTGGTTGCTGGCAGCCGGGAAAGATTGGCCCTGATCTCAGGCCAGGCCTAGGGACCCTACCCATGCACGAAGTTCGTGCACTGGGCCTCTAGTATGTGTGTGTGTGTGCGGGGGGGGCTAATATGCAAAGTGACCCCTTGGGAGTTCAACCAGGAGACCAGCAGTTTGATCACTCGCTATGATGTGCACTGACCACTAGGGGGCAGCACGAAATGAAGGGAAGACCCATAGGTAGCTGGCAGCTGGGGAAGGGAGGCCCCGAACAGCAGCTGGAAGGCCCCAATTGACCCTGATCACCAGGCAGGCCTAGGGACCTTACCTGTGCATGAATTTCAGGCACCGGGCCTCTAGTGAATAATAAAACTCAAAACCAAAACATAATACGTGACTTTTGAAGTTTATGGAAGGAAACCATTCCTACCATGTTCTTGAAATTCATAATAGGTTATTTCCCCATCTACCAACCACCCCTTTCATAGCAAGTTCCTAAAAGAGTTGAAAATGCAACTGCAAGAATTCTTAGCAAAAAAAAATAGATATACATACAGCCAGATTATTATTTTCCTTCAAGTATATCAAAAATTAGAAATGTATTCCCTCTGTGGTGTTCTTTTGGTTTTAACATTAGTATTATCAAATAGCTTTATAATTATACTAGAGGCCCGGTGCACAAAAATTTGTGCACTTGGGAGGAAGGGGGGGGGTCCCTCAGCCCAGTCTGTGCCCTCTCGCAGTCTGGGACCCCTCGGGAGATAATGACCTGCTGGCTTAGGCCTGCTCCCGGGTGGCAGAGGGCATGCCCAATCCCTAGGTGCAGCCCCTGGTCGGGCTCAGAGCAGGGCCAATTGGGGACTTGGGGCGCCACCCCCTGTCATGCACAGAGCAGGGTGGATTGGGAGGTTGTGATGCCACCCCCAGTCACGCTCAGGGTAGGGCCGATTGGGGGCTTGGGGCACCGCCCCCTGTCACACACAGAGCAGGGCCCATCAGGGGGGTTGGGGCTCCTTACCCTGTCACGCATGGAGCAGGGTCGATCAGGGGGTTGGGGAGCTCCCCCATGTCACGCACAGAGCAGGGCCCATCAGGGGGTTGAGGAGCTCCCCCCTGTCACTCAGAGTAGGGCCGATAGGGGAGTTGGGGCACCGCCCCCTGTCACACACAGAGCAGGGCCCATCAGGGGGTGGGGCACCGCCCTCTATCACCCACAGAGCAGGGCCGATCAGGGGGTTGGGATGCTGCCACTGTCACACTCAGGGCAGGGCCGATGGGGAGGTTATGTCTCTACCCCATCACACACACAGCAGGGCCAGTGGGGGGGAGGGGGGGTTGTGGCACCGCCCTCTATCACCCACAGAGCAGGGCCGATCAGGGGGTTGGGGCGCTGCCACTCTCACACTCAGGGCAGGGCCGATGGGGAGGTAATGGCTCTACCCAGTCACACACAGAGCAGGGCCTGTGCGGGGGGGGGGGGGGGGGGGGTTGGGGCACCGCACCCTGTCACACACAGAGCCGCAGGGCGATCAGAGGTTGGGGAGCTCCCCCGTATCAGGCACAGAGCAGGGCTGATCAGGAGGTAGGGGCGCCTTCCCCTGTCACGAACAGAGCAGGGCAGATAGGGAGGTTGTGGCTCAACCCCCTGTCACACACAGAGCCACAGGGAGATCAGGGGGTTTGGGCGCTGCCCCTGTCATGCTGATCCCGGTGCTGGGAGGCATATTACCCTTTTACTATATACGATAGAGGCCTGGTGCATGGGTGGGGCTGGCTGGTTTGCCCTGAAGGGTGTCCCAGATCAGGGTGGGGGTCCCCACTGGGGTGGCCTGGCCAGCCTGGGTGAGGGGATGATGGCTGTTTACAGCTGGTCACACACCCTTCAGGGTGGGGGTCCCCACTGGGGTGGCCTGGCCAGCCTGGGTGAGGGGCTGAGGGCTGTTTTCAGGCTGGCGGGTGACGGAAGCTCCCAACCGCTCCTTTTTTGCTTTTTGTTTTTAATTCTGGGCCAGCTTTAGCTCTCAGGCTCCAGCTCTTAGGCCTCCGCTGCTGAAAGTAGGTATCTGGTTTGTTTCAGTTCGAAACGATGTATAACTCCAGCTCTGACTCCAGCTCTGAGATCCCAGCTTGCTGAAAGCTGGTTTCTGGGGGTTTTTTTTAGCTTCTATATTTGTTAAAATGTTTCAAACTGCAGGCTCAGAGGCCTGCAAGGCTGGCGGGGAATGTTGGAGTCCTCCGTCACTGAAGCAAGCAAGCCTCATGTTAGTTTCAAGCTGCCTGGCTGCCGGCCGCCATCTTGGCTGTCAGTTAATTTGCATATCTCGCTGATTAGCCAATGGGAAGGGTAGCGATCCTACGCCAATTACCATGTTTCTCTTTTATTAGATAGGATAGTTTATTCTTGTGGATAGTGATCCACAAGTTATCTGTCATAATTTGTGCTACCAATTTTATTAACAGAACCTATAATATAATAAGTTTAAGATAATGAACAGAATAATAGAACTTTAAAAACACTGACTTACTCAGCAACCCCTTTCATCTTCCTTGTGTCCAATAAATCTGAGGAAATAATTAAAGAATAATGAAGGTTACAAGTTGTTGACTGGTTGGCTGACTGAATGAATGTCAATGAAAAAAATACCAAAATAGCCTTTTTGTGAGAACAGTGCGCTATACTGAAAAGCACTTGAAGAAAATTATGGCACATATCCTGAACATCACCTCATTTCAAGAGGCGAAAGGCAAGGTGAGCACTGCAAGACTTTTATGTCTGCAGATGGTTTCTTACCCAATTACTCAGCAATAGTGTGTGGCCCACTCCCACATGGGAGGTGAGGGCGGGAATTCTTTCTGAATCAGAGAAGCAAGGCCTAGAAGCATGCACAGGCAAGGAAAGACTGGGAATGCTCTAATTTCTCCTCCATAGCCCTATGTCTGAAAGGGATAATGTACAGACACGCACATGAAAAAAAACAAAAACAAAAAACATAGGCACAAGATTTTTCCCCCAAAAGTTATGTCAATAACGGAGCTTCTGGAATTTATAATTTTATTCCTGACTTCAGAAGAGCATATGGGACTCATGCCTATTCAAGCAGAGCACAGTGAGAGGTTCAGGGGTGGACTGAGGACTTCATTTGTACCAATGAGACTCAGGCCCAGATTTCTTTTGATGCTTAAAAGGGAGACTCTTTTATGGTGGATTTAAAATTGAAATAATTAGGTATAATGATGCAATCCTATAAAAAATAAGCATACTGTATGGGACATTTATAAATATAGCTATATGTATGATTACAAAGAAAACCTTTTTAAATTACAAGAAGTAGAAATAGTAAAGACTGCATTCAATGACTATAATATAGTAAAACTAGAAAAGAACAGGTTAAACAAACAAAAAAACAAACTCTTGGAAATTTAAAAAGCATTCTCTCAAATAATTTTAACATCCACAAGGAAACAATACACATTAACTTGTTAGTGATGAATGTTAAGGGGAGAGAGAAATACTATCTTTTGACCATCAAATTGGCAAATTTCCTGAAGTTTGGCAAAGGATGCAGGAAAATAGGCATTTCTTAACACTCTTGGGGGTAGTATAGACAACTGAAGCTTTTGAAAAGTCTATCAAAATTTAAATGTAAATAACTCTTAAACAACAATTCCAGTTCCAGAAAGTTACCCTAAAGCAGCGGTTCTCAACCTGTGGGTCCCAACCCCTTTGGGGGTCGAACAACCCTTTCATAGGGGTCGCCTAAGACCATCGGAAAACACAAATATAATTACATATTGTTTTGTGATTAATCACTATGCTTTAATTATGTTCAATTTGTAACAGTGAAATTGGGGGTCACCACAACACGAGGAACTGTATTAAAGGGTCGCGGCATTAGGAGGGTTGAGAGCCACTGCCCTAAAGTATTTTTTGTCCACAGCTTTATGCATAAAGATATCACAGGAGCATTGTTTACAGAAGCAAATGTTGGAAACAATTTAAATGTTCTTAAGTAGAAAAAAGGTAAATGAATTTGGGTCTTTGGATATAATGGGAACCTGCATCAGAAAGGATCGAGTACCAATCCACAGAACCTCAGGCTCTGGTTTTTGGTTTTTGTTGTTTTTTTTCAGGAGAATCTCACAATCTTTATATTTGCTTCTCTCTCTCTCTCTCTCTCTCTCTCTCTCTCTCTCTCTCTCTCTCTCTCTCTCTCTCTCCTTCTTTCACATTTCCTCCTCCTCCCCACAAACACATTTCAAAAAACTCTGCATATGCTACTTTGGACTATGGTTGTGTCTTAGACATCAATTTGTGACCAAGTTTCAGTCTGAGTAGCCTAGAAATAAGGACAAGTAAAAGGTCATTTTTCCTTAAAGAAATAGGTCAGCAAGCAGAAGATAACTCTAAGATTATGTAGTCAAATTTACCTTCACATCGAAAAACTTCACATTCTTCAAAAGATATTGTCTGATGTTGAGATAGTTTTAATTTTTTAATTGTATCTAAGCTCATAGTCACTTTTTTTCCTGATAGATCGATCATGAATTCCCCTTTATTACCATAGTGATAAACAAAATCTGTCAAATCATGTGGTCCTAGTTCACATCTTAAAATTTTAGTCTCTTCAAAGGCAAAAAGGAGGCAGGAACCTCTGGTTTGATTTTTGTCATTCTGGGGTATATATGACCCAAAAACATGATTAGAACTGTAAATCACTAGTAGAGTGGGTCCTTGATACTTGCATCTGCAAATCAAACTGCTATTAGTAAATCCATGGACACTAGCCCTATAAAGAAGGCTAAACTTCCCTTTCACAAGGTTTTGCAGTTTCTTTTCTTCTATCCACGTCAAACGAGTTGCCATATTTCTCAACCTAGTGGAAAATCAAACATATTTTCCATAAGTATTGAAAAACAGATAATATGTACTGTCACAAACCTTGAATTTATGCCTCTTATTTACTCTACATTTCATGTGGAATGTGTAAACAAGGGTGGCCAGATAGCAAGAAAAAAACATTCTAAATTATTATTTTTAGAAAGATTTTTTTAAAGGCTATTGTTTACAAGTGGCTAGGAAAAGTGGAAAGCAGCAGGTCTTTTACCTGTTTGTAGAATCCGTACAGGGGCTGAGGCTGAGAGTAGTTGCTCTGTCTGGACAGGGAGGCAGGCATAAAACAATAGCAGAGGCGAGAGGCATTAGAGATTCAGAGAAAAGGAAACTGAAAGTCATTGGGGCCCAGCCCAGTTGGCAGTGTGCCAGCTTCCCTCTGGGAGGTAGCATAAACTAATCCAGCTCATTTTAGATAAGACTTTCATATAAAAACATAACTGGGAGAATCAAAGAATCAATGTCAAATAAAAAAAATTACTACTGCCGTAACCTGTTTGGCTCAGTGGATAGAGCGTCGGCCTGTGTACGGAAAGGTCCCAGGTTCGATTCTGGTCAAGGGCATGTACCTTGGTTGTGGGCACTTCCCCAGTGGGGGGTGTGCAGGAGGCAGCTGATCGATGTTTCTCTCTCATCGATGTTTCTAACTCTCTATCCCTCTCCCTTCCTCTCTGTAAAAAATCAATAAAATATATTTTTTAAAAAAATCACTACCTTTTTAATCGACTTCATAAAAACTTTTAAGAAAATTCAATTTTTAATGTGGACATACAAAGAAATGTCTATTCTAACTTCAGAACACATCTCAAATTAATCCACATCTCTCAATCTATGCTATTCATTTATTCTAAACCAACCTATTTTCTTATGTAAATTGTTGTTGTTATAATAGCTTCCTAATTGGTTCCATTGCTTTTCTGCTTGCCCCCTTCCCATCTATTCTTCTTAAAACATCCAGAATCAACTGTGTCTGTAAAACATAAACTAAATCATGTCAATCTCTAACTGGAACTCCTTCCCTAACTTCACAATGTTGGGGTAAAAAGCTTATGTTCTTTGGCTAAATACATCCTGTGGATTTGTTTTGCAGGGCCATCATAATGCCTTTTCTTCTTTTCTTAAATTTTAAATCTGAAAGCTTTTACATCATTGAGCATCTACTCCAGGGGTGGGCAAACTTTTTGACTCGAGGGCCACAATGGGTTCTTAAACTGGACCGAAGGGCCAGAACAAAAGCATGGATGGAGTGTTTGTGTGAACTAATATAAATGCAAAGTAAACATCATTACATAAAAGGGTACGGTCTCTTTTTTCAATAGTTTTATTCATTTCAAACGTAGTTTGCCCATGGCTGATCTACTCTCTAGTTGCCCATTGTCTTAACAAATCCCCTATTCCTGCTTCTGACAAATTTAAATTCCCCACTCAGCCCAGAAAAATATATAAGTTTTGAGTTTATTAAAAATCAACATCAATTTAAAATATTTTAAGCAGCTTTTGGGTATTATTTACTTAGGTAAAAATAAAAGCACTAGAAGTTATAATATGCTTATTATTTGCCAAACACTTTAAATGTATCTTAATATTAATATTATCACCAGTTTTCAGTTCAGATAAACAAACAGAATTTTGGAGTTAAATTATTTTCCAAAGATCATCTGCTATTGAACTGCAGAGCCAAGACTGAACTATAATCTAAGTGAAAACAGAGGAGTGATGGATTTTTATGTATGTACACTTGTTAAAACTGATAAAATTACACACTTTCAACATGTGCAATTCAATATTTCAATGATCTCAATTATACCTTACTATAGTTGTTTTTTAAAATATTCCAAACTTTCCAAATGATGTGTTTTTTTCTGTATTGTAAGGAAGTTTATAATAACACTAGTAGCCCGGTGCATGAAATTCGTGCACTGGGGTAGGGGGAAAGGGGCCCCTCAGTCTGGCCTGCACCTTCTCCAATCTGAGACCCCTCAGGGAATGTCCAACTCCCTGTTTGTGCCCACACTTTTAACAGATAACAGCTCCATTGTTGTTTCTTTCTTATGCTTAAAACCATTGGAATTAGTAGGTATTCAAAGTGTGTATACATTTTGGGGGGACACCCTGTATATCTCTAGTCAGCAGTGAAAGAAACCAACAGCAGATTTGGAACCCCCAGACAGGGAACCTCGCTCACTCCCCACATGTCTCCCCACTTCATTTTCCACCTTCGTGGGCAGCAGGAGAATCAACGTTTTCTCTCATTAATTCGGAAAAGCACATCCTGTCACCCGCTGCCCAGCAGGAGCACGCTAGGCCCCAAGCATGCGAGGCTCAGTCAGGGCAGCCCTCGCTCATGGGTGCTGGCATACAAAGTGCACATTCCTCCTCTACAGTCGCCCCGACTATCCCACTGTTTTACTGAGAGGACGGAATTCCTCTCCGCCTCTGGGTTCTTGATCTTGAATGCTGACCGAAGGCACCTCAGCGAGGGCCGCCCATGCCCACCAGGTGTGTCTGTCTGCATCTGCTCCCACCTCAGCACCTGCATTAACCCCCAGAGGTGATCTCCTAGCTGCACTGGCCTCCCTGGGAACAGGGCATCACCACTCTGTCCTCTCACTGTCATCTCACAGGCGCCTACCCTCAGCACCCAGAACACCCAGACACTCTTCAAAGGACATGAGCGCATCAGAGGGGATGTGTGCACATCCTATGGGGGTGTTAGGCATGCTGGGTTGATGGAAGTGCGGTGAGAGGCGGGGGGAACTTGTGCATGCCTTGGTTTGCAACTGTTGCAGTCGCAGGAGGGTGACAGTGTGCTGGGGGATGTTCGCACGCCAGCGGGGGATGTGCACACCGGAGGCCTCTGGCTTTGCAGATCAGCAAACCCCCGTGGTGCGGCCAGGAGGACGTCAGTCTGGCCCGCCACTGTGGCTGTCCCTGCGATCCTGCACCTTCTGGGCCAGAAGGCGGATCTTGAGTAACCACTCCTGGGCGCTGATGGCCTGCAGGCACTACTTCAGCTCAGCCTGCAGGCTCCGCTTGGAGCACTCACAGCTGTCACCACCGCCATGTGGGGAGTACAGGCCACCCTCCGCCGGCCTGCCTCTCCTGTCCAGAGGCTCTCTGCGCTGCTCACCTGCCCAGAGTGACTGGGTCTGGGTGGAAACCAGGTGTCCTGCCCTGCCCAACCCCGGCCGATCCGCCCCTGTGAGAGCTGCCACCCCCCCGGGAAGGGTCACGGATCCGGGTCCCAGGACCGCAGACAGCCTCAAGCACTGCCCCCTGCTTGGCAGGGTCACAGATCCGGGTCCCGGGACCGTGGACAGCCTCAAGCACCCCGCCCGGCAGGTAATGGATATGGGTCCAGACCGCCGACAGCCTCAAGCGCTGCCCCCCCCCGCCCGCCAGTTCACGGATCTGGGTCCAGACTGCAGACAGCCTCAAGCGCTGCCGCCTGCCCGGCAGAGTCACAGATCCATGTCTTGGTCCCACAGACAGCCTCAAGCACTGCCCCCCGACCGGCAGGTCACGGATCCGGGTCCCAGACCTCGGACAGCCTCAAGCGCTGCCGCCCCCCACCAGGTCACAGATCCGGGTCACAGACCGTGAGCAGCCTTGCCCACTGCCGTCCCGCCCACCAGGTCACGTATCCGGGTCCCAGACCGTGGACAGCCTCAAGCACTGCCCCCGCCCGCCAGGTCACGGATCTGGGTCCGGGACAACAGCCTCCATGCTGCTCCCCGCCCGGCAGGGTCACAGATCCGGGTCCCGGACCCGGGACAGCCTTGCCCGCTGCCGCCTGCCTTCAGTATGCAAATTAGCCGCCATCTTGTTGCTTCAGGGTGGAGGTCCCCACTGGGGTGCCTGGCCAGTCTAGGTGAGGGGCTGAGAGCTGTTTTCAGGCTGGTGGGTGACTGAAGCTCCCAACCTCTCCTTTTTCTTTTTCTTTTTTATTCTGGGGTTTATTTACCTTCTATGGCCTTCACTGGAGCTGAGAGCCAGTTTTAGCTCTGAGGCCGGGCTCCAGCTCTGAGACCTCAGCTGCTGAAAGCAGGGATCTGCATTTGTTCTATAATTGAAACAATGTTGCAGTCCTGCTGGCTGAAGCCTGGCTGACTGAAAGCAGGTTTCTGGGTTTTGTTTAGCTTCTATATTTGTAACAATGTTTCTTAGAGTGCAAGCTCAGAGGCCGGCAGCGGCAGGCGGGGAACCTTGGCTTCCTCCTTCACTGGAGCAAGCAAGCCTCCTGTTCGCTTCAGTGCCTGGCTGCTGGCCGCCATCTTGGTTGGCAGTTAATTTGCATATCGCCCTGATTAGCCAATGGGAAGCATGTCGGAGGCACAGTTAATTACCATGTTTGTCTTTTATTAGATAGGATTAAACTGTCTGATCACAGTTTTAGGGAAATGGCATTCATAAATATGTTTAAGTAGTGTATTCCATTAATATGAAAATAATAGCTAAGATCTCTGAACTTCCACTTGAATAGAATCTCCTTCCCAAAAATCATTAATTATCTGTTGACTCCAATGTCTCCGTTTGGTGTTGTGAACTATGGTTCTTTCATTTATTTGTTTTTTCAATAAAAAATGAATACCTACTATGTGCCTCCACTGTTTTGGAGGCCAGCAATACAGCAATAAACAAGACAGATTTAGTTCCTGTCCTCATGACAATATATACTTCTCTGGAAGGCAGGCAGTCAACACAAATCATCTAGAAAGAAGTGCTATGAGGAAAATAAATGAGAATAAGAGTAAAAAGAAGTGATAAGGGAAAGTGTCTGCCAGTTTAGATCATATGATCATGGAAGGTCTCTCAAATGACATGACATTGGAAGGAAGACCTGAATGGAATGAGGGAGAGTGTCATGGAAATATCTAGGGGAAGAGTATCATAGGTAGAGAGGAATAAGTACCAACAACCTTGCGTGGCAGTTTGTTGCAATAGCTGGAGTAGGTTTGAGGATAATTAAATTAGTGATCACTCTGGTAAAGAAAAGAGTATAGAACAACTAAAAGGCTATTACAATATCAAGTGGGAGATTAACGTCCTGCAGACTAGAGTGACACTGGTGGAAGCAGTCCAAAAGTGGTCAGATTCAGGATGTCTTTAAGGATAAAAGAAAGTCAAGAGAACTTATTTCTGGACTTGGGGTTGGGGGTCAGGGATAAAAGAAAAGAGAAAATTTAGTGTGACCTCAATAATTTTTGGCTTGAGCATTGGTGGAGCTATTTATTGAAATAAGTATACTGAAGGAAGATTTCTTGAAAGGAAACCAAGTATTCTGTCTTCCTTGAAATATGTAATTGCA